AAAGGGGCAATAGATTATGCCTAAAGTTGATCAATCTCTCCCATGCACTCATTCTCAGGAAGACATCACAGCTGTGCTATTCAATACAGTAGCCAATAGCCACATGTGGCATTTTAATTTTAGTTAATTAAAATTAAATTTGAAATTCAGCCACAAGCCACATTCTAGGTACTCAATAACCATGTGTTGCTACCCTAATAGACAGCACAGATACAGAACATTTCACCATCAGAGAAAGTTCTGTTGGATAGTGCTATACGGGAGGGTATATCACATCAAACCAAGGAAGTAAACCAAGAAAGAAAAAACATGAGGAGATCAACATATATGAAAGTGGTAAGTGAAATCCCTAGGATAATAGTGAAGAGTGACACTTGTCAGAAGGCCCTAAGGACCACCAGTCTGGACTGAAATAGGGGAGGGGGCTCCAGAGAATATCTCTCTAAAGAGACTCAGCAGAAAGACTACCTAACACATCAGAACACCCAGAGAGCAGATCAGCAACTGAGTTTAGGACAGTTTGGGATATGTACACACAAAATCAAGGAAATAAATATAATTATTAACATCAGAGTAAAGGAATTATTACAAAGAAAAAGAAAGGAAACATAATGATAGTACACTCTACATGGTTGAGCTATAAATAAACTGGTTAAGGGGCACCTGGGTGGTTTGGTCAGTTGAACATCTGATACTTTTTTTTTTTTTTAAGATTTTATTTATTTATTGACAGAGAGAACACAAGCAGGTGGTGGATCAAAAGAGAGAGACAGGCTCTCTGCTGAGCAGGTAGCCCGATAGGGGACTCAATCCCAGGACCCTGGGTTCATGACTGAGCCGAAGCAAGATGCTTAACCGACTGAGCCACCCAGATGCTCCATGAATGTCTGATTCTTGATTTCAACTCAGGTCATGATCTCAGGACCGGATCTCAGGGATCCAGCCCCACTTCAGGCTCTGTGCTCAGCAGGGAATCTGTTTGAGATTCTCTCCCTCTCTCTCTCTTCCTCTGACCCCCCCCTGCTCTCTCTCAAATAAATAATAAATCATTAGTATAAGCAAATAAATAAACTGGTTAACTTAATGTAAATATCAAATGCTGATGTCACCTAAGTAATGACAAAACTATATTTGAGAAGGCAGACAGGCACATGTGAGAGCAGGGAAGAGAAAGAAAATTAAATCTTAGATCATCGGTTTTCATATCATTACAGGAACAGATAATGCCTAAAATGGAAAAAATCAAGATTGGGCAATATCAGGATATCATTTATGAATGTAAACACTAAAAGAAAATACCCAAAAGACTTGAAAGTAGTTGGCTATGGAGACTCAGAAATGGAATAGAAACATAGTAAAAGTATTTGACACTTCAATCTAGATGTAGGTACAACATAAAAATTAAAGTAATACCTACTGTTTTTTAAAGTTTTTATTTTAATTCACTAGTTAATATGCAGTGTTCCATTTGTTTCAGATGTATGATATAGTGATTGGGCACTTCCATACCTCAACCGACAAATGCACTCTCTAATTCCCATCACCTATTTCTCCCTTTCCTCCTCCCACCTCCCCTCTGGTAATCTATCTATGTATCTACCTACCTATCTATCCATCCATCCATCCATCCATCCACCAATCCATCCATCCATCCATCCACCCACCCACACACAAATATATGTAATCTTCTCTTATAAGGCTGAATAATATTCTGTTATATATATGTGTGTACATCTTCATTATCCATTCATCTATCAGTGGATACTTGGTCTGCTTCCATATCTTGGCTACTATAAATAATGCTGCTATAAACATAGGGGTGCATGAATCCCTTTGAATTAGCGTTTCTTGTATTCTTCGGGTAAATACCCAATAGTGCAATTGCTGGATCATAAGGTAGTTCTATTTTTATCTTTTTGAGGAATCTCCATTCTGTCTCCCACAGGGGCTGCACCAGTGTGCCTTCTTCCCAACAGTACAAGAGGGCTCCTTTTTCTCCACAACCTCACCAACACTTACTGTTTCTTGTGTTGTTGATTTTAGCCATTCCAACAGGCATGAGGTGCTATCACATTGTGGTTTTGATTTGCATTTCTGTCATGATAAGTGATGATGAGCATCTTTTCATAGGTTTGTTGGCTAACTGTATGTCTTCTTTGGAGAAATATCTGTTCAAGTTTTCTGACCATTTTTAAATTTTATTATTTGTTTTTTGCCTGTTGAGTTCTTTATATATTTTGGATACTAACCCTTTATTAAATATGTCACTGGCAAATATCTTCTCACATTCCACCGGTTGTATTTTAGTTCTGTTGATTGCTTCCTTTGCTGAGCAGAGCTTTTTATTTTGATATAGTCCCAACAGTTTATTTTTGCTTTTGTTTTCCTTGCCTCAGGAGATATATCTAGAAAGAAGTTGCTAAGGCCTAATGTCAAAGAAGTTACTTTCTGTACTTCTTTAGGATTTTTATGGTTTCAGGTCTCACATTTAGGCCTTTAATCCATTCCGAATTTATCTCTGTATGTGGTGTAAGAAAGTGGTCCAGTTTCACTCTTCTGAATGTAGCTACCCAGTTTTCCCAACACCATTTGTTGAAGAGATCTTTTTCCCATTGTACATTCTTGCCTCCTTCATTGATGACTAATTGAGCATATAATTGTGGATTTATTTCTGGATTTCTTTTCTGGTCCATTGATCTCGATGTCCATTTTTTTTAAGACTTACATATTTATTTACTTCAGAGTGGTGGGAGGGGGTGGTGTAGGGGGATGGGGAGAAGCAGAGGGAAAGGGGAGGGAGCAAATCTCAAGCAGACTCCCTGCTGAGCGTGGAGCCTGATGCAAGGCTCGATCTCATGACCCTGAGATCATGACTGGAGCTGAAACCAAGAGTCTGATGCTTAACTAAGTACATCACCTAGGCACCCCATGTGTCTATTTTCGTGCCAGTACCATACTATTTTGATTACTGCAGCTTTGTAAAATAACTTGAAGCCCAGAATTCTCATTGCCTCCAGCTTTGCTTTTCCTTTCCAAGATTGCTTTTGCTATTTGGGATCTTTTGTGAATCCATACAAATTTTAAATTGTCTGTTCTGGTTCTATGAAAGATGTTGTTGGTATATTGATAAGGATTGTATTGAATGTGTACATTGCTTTGGATAGTATGGACATTTTAGCAGTATTTTTTCTTCTAATCCATGAGCATAGAATATCTTTATAATAAATATATATTTGGTTTTAGTACCCATTCCTGACTCACAGCTCCCCCAAATCGTTGGAATTTCCTAAGTGATAAGAGCAATTGGAACATCTTTTGTTACAGTAGTTGGTCATTTGTCCTCAGTTCCTGAAATAGCTCCAGAGCCTAAAAAGTCAAAGAAGAGTGCTCTTCATAATAAGCCCCTTTCAACCACACCTGAGTTTTTGTTAATGAGGTAACTTTTGGAAAGCCCCTAAGGATGGGAGCTGGTTGCCTGGGCAACCAACCTTGATTAGAGGACTAAACTCTCTGTCCCATCCCCTGACCTCCAGGGAGAGCAGTGAGGCTAGAGGTTGAATGTCAATCAGTAATCACCAATGAAGCCTCCATGAAAATCCAAGAGAATTCAGCAATCTTCTGGGTTGGTGAAGACATGGAGGTGATGGGAGGGCGGTGCACTCAGAGAGCACGGAAGCTCCGTGCTCCTTTCCTCATACCTTGCCCTACGTCTCTCTTCTAGCTGGCTTATCCTCAGTTATATCCTTTCATACTGAACTGCTAATCTAGTAAGCAAAATGTCTTCCTGAGTTCTGTGACCAGCTCTAGCAAATTAATTGAACCCAAGGAGAGGGTGGTAGGAACCCTTGTTTTATAACCAGTTGGTTAGAAGCACAGATGACAATCTATACTTGGCGCCTGCATCTGAAGGGGCACTGGGGTGGGGGGAGGCACTCTTGTGGGACTGAGACCTTAAACTGTGAGACCTGTGGCCATCTCCAGGTAGAGAGTGTCAGGGTTGAGGTAACTGCTTGGTGGTGTCAAAATAACACACGTCAGAATCATGAAATATAGCGACTGCAGAGGAGTAACTGAAAGTGTATGCCGGCCAACCTTTGCCACCAGTGGTCAGCCACTATCATTGGAAAACGAAACTTTGCTTCTCACCACAGCCCCATCTGAGGGGGCCTGGAAGGTTGGTTTGGGGCCAGACTTTGCAGGTACAAGTAGCAATTCTGCAATTCAACAGCTGAAGGACCCTGAGTAAGGGACTTGTATGATTCTGTGCCTCAGTTTCCTCATCTCTATAGTGGGGAGGAAAAAAAGAACCTCGTCTAGAGGACTGTAAAGTCCTTAGAGCAATACCAAGTGCTCAATAGGCATTTTCCACCAGCATTATCTTCTCTTTGTATTCTAACTTGTCACTTAACTCTGCAGCCTGACCTTCCTCTGTTTTGCTACAAAACTGCCCCTTGGCCAGTATGTGCTCTCATTTCCCACATATTATCTGTTGGTGAGGGGTAAGCAATGTCCTCTAAAGCTTACCAGACATTTTTACTAACCCATATGAAATGAAAGCCCAAAGAGATGGTGGCCATCATCTGGTCCAAGCTTGTCACTGTACAGATGGGGCCAGTGAGGCTTTGACAGCAGATGGGCTACCCTATCCACAAGCTGGTCTAATGTGATTATTGTACAAACATTATCCCCAATAAGTTTTTGCGCCCCAATTTCTCCAGAGAGATCTCTTGTCCATTTAGCCAAAGAAGTAGATGAGAAAAAGCCACCCTGTGATTTTAAAGACTGTTAAATGCTAATTACAAGCCACTCCATTTGAAAGATAGCATTGAAAGCATTTTAATCCCCCTTCCTTCTCTCCAAACTGCCATCACTAGAAAAAACAAAAAGCCAGTTCTATGAAAGCTTCAAGCCAAACCGAACAGTTGTACAGACAATGGTTATTAAGAGGTAAGCTTTTTCCCAGGGAATGGTTAAAGCGTTTTTCCCCCCCTTCTTGTTACCTTGGTAACTGCTACCTTGGCGCCCTTGTTGATGAGCTGAACCACATTCTCTGCTTGGCCTTTGTACGCAGCTATGAGAAGGCGTTCTGAAAGCGCAGCGACCGCATCCTGCTGGCTCATGAATTAGGAGAGAAAGAGGTTTTCAGGAACGCAGTAGACAAGTTCCTTCAGCTCAACACGATGCCACTGGCCCGGGCAGGCACCCACGGGAAAAGGTGCTCCTGAGCGCCAGAAGGTGCCTTTATTACTAGGCCATTTTGGGGACCTAGGGGTTACAAAACAAAGTTGTCATTAGCACCACTCCACATACAGCATGGGCCACACCTCGTCTCTCTGGTTTCAGGGCATCTGCTGGGGGCTCCTGGCAGGGGACGGAAGCTGGGCAAAGATGGGACAAGCACGAAGCACATTCTGCACACCAAAGCTCCTGAACCTGGAAACAGAAGGCAGCAGAATGTGCCAATCTCCCTCCCTTCTTCCTGCTTCTGGGACATTCTCCAGAGGATTAGAACCAAAACTGTGAGGTCTGTTCTGCACGTCCATCCTAGGTAACAGGGACCTGATATAATCCCACCAACATCGCGGGGTTCCCAGGCCTGCCTTTGGCGGGTGACTGTGCTGTGTATGATCACAAAGGGCCTTGGGACCAAATTTTGTGGGTCCACCACGGCTGACATGCTGCTTCTGCTGGCAGGTGAAGGTGCGTGAACCACACCTCACAGAGACCCTGAGGACTGGGTTAAATCCTTGGGATTCTGTCCCAGCATTTACTGCAGTTCTTTTGCTTCATCCTTGTCTCAATGTAAACAGTGCAGTTTCCTGAGTTCTGGGACAGATGGAGAACTGGGCGCAGGCCCGGGCCATCTCCCAGTTCCAATTATTGTCGGAAAAACCCACTTTGGGAACAACAAGGGTGCTATACTGACAGTGTGCACTGCCAGCTGCACCAAGAGGGACTGGTGGTGGTGTTTCCGAGCTTAACAGGAAATAAAAGGCTTGAAGCCCCACTCAGAGCAGTGATCAGGAGGTAGTAACTAGTAGTCAACCTCTTCTTTCCACCAAATGGCAAATGAACAGAATTCTAAAGACTGACTCCCATCAGTAGCCCTGGACCACCATTAGAGCAAACCAAAGCCATTGGTAATTATGTCAAAAGTAAAGGATTCGGGGCTCCTGGGTGGCCTAGTCAGTTAAGCATCTGACTCTTGATTTCGGCTCAGGTCAAGATTTTAGAGTCCTGGGATGGAGCTCCATGTTGGGCTCTACACTCAGCAGGGAGACTGCCTGAGGTTCTCTCTCCCTTCTCTCTCTCTGCCCCAACCCCACTCAAACGAATTAAAAAAAAAAAAAGCCAAACTAATACACCCTGCTCTGCTCATTGGAAGTGCAACAAACCTGAAGAAGGAATGTTCCAAAGCAGAGGACTCCTGTTAGTCACAGTTAGAGGTCCCTGGACGCACCAGAAATATTGACTGAATGAACGAGCCAATGAAAGAATAACATTGAGACTCAAAACAGAGAAACAGAGCTAGAAATGCCACTGGAAATTCCCAGGGTCCCCTGAAAGACAAGTTTGGGCTCTATGTTTTCCAGACTGTTCCACTGTTTAGAGTGGTTTGTTTTTATAAACATTGGATACACTGTTCTTTCAGATAACATGTGGTACCTTCAAACCAGTAATACTGAGCTTCTGCTCCGTTTGTCCCAATACTGCAAAAGCCCAAATGGCAGGAAAATACTATATGAGCTGTGGCTTCCTAAATACTCTCCCTCCACAACCACATTCTTCCACTTAAACTCATTTGTTATCTTCGCACACTCAATGGCCACCTTCCCGTACCCGAACTTTTCTTGCAATGGGTATCTGAATGTCTCAACTACAATAGCCCAGTTCATACAAATACTATGATCATGACTAAAATTTCATTCATTTTACTTCATAGCTTAGCTCCTGGGGCTAGAGATGTCCTTGGTGCAAACTCAGTGCAGCCCATCCACCAAGGTCATGAGCTGCAGACCAGCAGCGCTGTCCAGTCTCCCCAGCAACAGATGCATGGGTCAGCAACAGACGTATGGGTCAGCAGGCCCACAGTACATGGACAGCCACTCCCCTCCTATCCCAGACAATAAATTCAGCTCTCAGACACTTATTGCCATGGTTGCAGGCTTCTGAGATAGCCTTGTTTACATAATTACCTTTGGTAAACAGCCCTTTGCAAATCCAGTGCACATTACTATTCCTTTTTTTAAATAGAAAAATATTACAATTGAAAAACGTTGGCCAAACAGAATTTTAAAAAATTTATTATTTTTATTATTATTATTTGCTTTTCAGTTCCCCTATTTAAGAATGACATGCTCCCCACTCCCCACTCTCCACTCCACCCCACCCCCTCCACCATGGCCAATGCCCAGCCTGCCTGAGGCACAGGGCAACTCCAGGACACGTTGCTTATAGGGGTATGGATACTCCCCCCCAATGGAATTGCACAGAAAACTGCCTGCAAAATCAGGAACAGAATCCCAGGGTTCCAGTTACCAGTCTGCAGCCAGCACCATCCCTTTGTGCTTGGGCATCTCAAGTTCATTCTCGATTTAGATCCAGCAAGAGGCTCACTGGTAGAACCTCTAGCATTCACCTACAGTTGCATTCACACACAGGGTGGTGGGAAAGGATCAAAGTGAGCCTTCTTTTTGGCTTCCTTTCTATACCTCCATCCATTTGGAGTAAGGGCATACTCAGCTTCTGTCTGACACCTCTGAACCGACAAATCGGAGCAGGCAGAGGCGGGCTGAGGGAGAGCAATGAGGAGGATGGAAGACCCCAAAAAAGGAGTGGGGGATGGGAGGAATAGAGAGGTGACAATCAGTCTGCAATCGATGACTTAAACTCCACTGCCAACCTGTTGGGTGCCTGGGCTGCAGCAGCCCCATGCCCTCATTAAATCTGAGCTGCCTCTTCCAAGTAGATCAGCTATCATTCAAGACACTTCCCACTGCTGGTGGTGAGGAATTTCTTCTGCCCCACATTTACCAATCACATCCCTCTTTGTCACAATGCTCACTTTCACAGGGCTCCAGAGAAAAATATTAAATGCAAACACGCTTCCAGCTCTTTAAGCAGAAATGAAATAAATCCATGATCATAAATATTCAATGAGCATCCTGAATCCAGAAAGGTATTTAGGTTCCTAAGAAAGATCTCCCTCCCTTCTCCCAGCCCACTGCCCTGTTTTCACTGCATTCCAATTTGCCAATGCTTTTTTTCTCTCATCACGAATGCCAGAAGGCCATACAGCTGCTTGGTCTGTGATGCAATCTCTTTTCTTTTTATAGCAAAAGGTCTATGAGGTTTGCTTTTGCTGTTTTCTTGAGGATTTACCACAAAGTCCCCTGGAACCAATATCCCCAAACCACTACAGTTTCCTAACAGACAAAATATTCTAGAAGAGACCTGCAAACAAAGTCCTAGCCAGGACCTTATGCACAGCCCACCCAGAGACAGTCCACAAGCCCCTAGAACCAGTGGTTAGGGAGCACCATCAATTACAATAACTCGCTTTGCACCGACTCCTCAAAACCCTGTAGCGAAGAGAGATTGTACTCACATCCGGGGGTCTGTCCTCCCCATTCTACATGGTGTTCTGCTGCTGGGTAACTGCTGTCAATTCTTTCCTGGAGAGATCATTAGCTTCCTAGGGTTGTCATGCTCAGTGGGTATGCAATGATTTACTTGCCTTTTTCCCTTGAGCTTCCTCTGCCAACTCTGGCCAAATCACATCTAAAAGCTTATTAAGACATCCACTCAGCTCACAATGTCTCGTTGCTTCCTAGTCTGCTCATCACAGCTTCTGAAAGTCTTGGGTCTTCAGGTCTTGTCGGACTGCTCCCTTCCGCCAGCAGAGGACCTGTAACACTGCCCTATTGAAGAGTCAGGGAATAATTCACAAATGGGCAGAATGATTTTCAGTGATGCTCAGATGACAGAGAAATGAAGTTTGCATCGCCAGCAGTCATGCCAGGAGAAGAGATGAATGTGCATGTCGTAAGGGAGGGAGAAGGCAGGCAGAGTCAAAACCTGTAATGAACTGCCTTTATGGTAACAGGGAACAGCAGAGATCCAGATACTCCTCCCTCCTCGGCAGAGAGTTCCAGCACTGTGACTGCAGCAGCACAGGAGTCAAGGCGCTGGGAGAGCAGCTGTTCCAGTGTTTTGTAAGCCCAGAGTTTGTCTCACAAACGATCCTCTAAACAGAGTCTCTGCGGAGAGGGGCTAGGGAGGAGACAGGGAGCAAAACTGTTGAGTTTTGATCGAGTGTCGTCAATGGCCCTAAACATCACAGGGGTGTCCTCCAGACCACTTGTTGAAGCAGCAGGAAACTAACTCCCAACTTGAGCAGTCATAGAAAGGAAGAGGGTTGTCCCTTTGACTTGAGCCATATTACCATTTTTTCCTTATTTTGAAAGCCAGAATTGTTGGTCCTAAAGGTGGGAATATTACTCTGCCTGTGTAAACCCTCTAAGCACCTTCCCTGCTCAAGGCCTTGCCCCTACTTCCTTGAGGGTAGCAGTTCTTATGGGCAACAGGCTGGGATTCTGCTTTGGCCATTATTTGGCTTATACCAAGGGAAGGACAGCCAGACTCAGTGTAGTGCATTACAGAGAGACTGAATTCCACTGGGGAGACAAGGTGCCAGTAGAATGATAAGCTTCTTTTTATTTTTTTTATTTTTAAGATTTTATTTATTTATTTGACAGACAGAGATCACAAGTAGGCAGAGAAGCAGGCAGAGAGAGATAGGAGGAAGCAGACTCTCTGCTGAGCAGAGAGCCCGATGCGGGGCTCAATCCCAGGACCTGGGATCATGACCTGAGCCGAAGGCAGAGGCTTTAACCCACTGAGCCACCCAGGCGCCCCGATAAGCTTCTTTTTAATACACAGCAATTGTACTGGTTTATCCTAAAGTGATCACTGCTGGGATACTGCCATCACAGCCTCACAAGTGAGGTCAGAACACGGAGCAATGTGACTCACTCCCTGCTCTAAAGAAACTGGCCCTGATAGGTCTTACCGAAGCCCCAAAGGCCAGATGCCAAATGAGAAAAGCAAACCGAATGTGACTGAGGTACAGAGAAACGAGTGGTTACTTTTGTGGGACATTTCCTTCTTCTGAGAGTATGCACCCCACAGGTAGGGACCCTCAACATAATATTATCAGTGAGGACAGTACAGCTCTGGCTGTTCGTAGAGACTGGGGTCCCCAA